ATTGATCAATAGCCGTTTGTGTAACAGACATCTTCCACTAACCCCCACAAGACCATTATACTATTCAAACAGCGCATGAAGCCCTTATGGTGAGAAATTATAGCCTCCAATATGTCCAGGACTGTTACTGGGAGGGGGAAAAAAAAAACCCTCTTGGACTTCTAAATGTTTGGGGTGGTGTGCTTGTTTTCCCTTCCCAAGAATTCAGTACAAGTTTCACAGTATAAATAATCGAACTTTAGTCTGCAGGTTTGTAGCAGCTATCCTACCTTCCATGATGTATGAAAAGGCATTAAAAACAGGAGCGTGGTTCTGGCCAAATATTATGTAAAACTCTTTTTTCTCTCCAATAATTCATATTATCCAGTTATTTAGGAATACTCACTTGATGCAATCATTGAAGAAATGAGGTTTGTCTGCTTGAACGATGACCACATCAAAAAAGTCCCTCCAGTCCTTGCCCACCATGTATTTCATTCCTTTGTCTCTACAAGATAAAATAATCACAAGATCAATAACAGCATTCCTGAACATAGGCAAGTCTATTGTGGTTACTTTATTACAGTCCAAAGCTAGCTAAAAGCTAACAGGGTGCCTTGTCTGTATTGTGGATCAGCTAGATACTATAGCCAAAAGGTACAGTAAATATTTAGGGGAAATGCCACATGACATACTTTATAAATCTAAGAAAACCTCGGGGGGGGGGGGGGGGTTATACAACAGAGCTTAAGTAGTCAGTGCCATCTTCATTCTATCCTTTAATGCTGCCAAAAACACCCGCTTCACAACTTTCTACCCCAATACAATACAAAAATTCCTCAAAGAGAACATGCTTTCATGCAATGAAACCATTCCTAATGGCAGAGAATGTGCCTTCCCGCAATGTAACCATACCTGATAGCGGAGAATGTGCTGTCACCCAATGTAACCATTCCTGATCGAGGAGAACATGCCTTCATGCAATGACGCCACTCCTGATGGCGAGAATGCGCCTTTGCCCCAGTGTAACCATTCCAGATAGTGGAGAATGAGCATTCAAGCAATGACACCACTCCCGATAGGGGAGAATATGCTTTTCCGCAATGTAACAATTCCCAATAGTGGAGAAGGTGCTTTCATGCAATGACACCATGGCTGAATGCAATGACACCATGCCTGATAGCGGATAATGTGCCTCCCTCCCCCCAATGTAACTATTCCTGATGGCAGAGAAAGTGGATTCCACCAATGTAAACATTCATAATGGAGAACATACATTTCACTTTCAGCAGGCCCAAACGCTGGTTGCATATATTTGCACAACCAGGGGCTGGAGAGACAAGCATGAAGGCAAGGGCTATGCATAGACAGCTTCTGCCACCATCTGCCTAATGCTGCTTGGTAAATGGTTTCCCCTACAGGTCTGTTTAAGGGTCCGTTTCATAAAAGCAAAGTGCAAAAGCCTGCATTGCCCCTAGTTTAAAATAAACAATACAGCCTACCTTAATTTATGTGTTTTAGTTACAAAACAAGATCTGCTTACTACTAGGAGAACTTACACAAAACTAAAAGGACTGTTGGTGATGAGGAAAAGTTTTTTTCCATGGCTAGCCAGACGGTGCAGAACAGCATAGGTCTCGTCCCCACGTAGAATGTATTTCTCTAAAGAAAACAATGAAACATCAGAAAGCATTGTTTGCAAAGGTCACAATGTACTTTTGAGTACCCAAAGTTCCATTCAAAGACATTTTCTTTCACTACTTACATTTATAAAGCTGCAACACTTGGCTTATATTTCTGCCATTTCCCAGTCATCTTCCTCCCACTCTTGAACCATACATTCCCTACCTTCCTCCCCCCATCCTCCTTCACCTTCTCCCTTATGTACGTTCTACTCTTTCTGATCTCTTTCCAATTCTTTTGTTTGTTTCTCTCTTTATGGATCCCTCCATATATTTGCTACTGTGGGTTACCTATGGGATATGAGGAAATGTCGTTTATCTTTATTGATGAATATGTAGCCTCCCTTCTCAAGCCCATTCTTCTAGAATCATCTTATGCGTTTGAAAATAATGTCAATGAGACTAGTGTCTGGGACCCGATAATTTTTACTGAATATTTACTATTACTGGACTTACGGTTTTCCTGTTCATATTTGGAACGTTACAGTTTTTTGGGATTTCTTACTATAATCATACGATGCTGACTATTTCTTTAAATTGTTTGTAAAACAATGTAAAGAAAGAAAACAAGCTGACTGCTAAGATTTCCCTTTCACAAGTCCGTGAGAAAACCTTATGACACAATTGTACTGGAAAAGCAGGCCAAATGGTATAGGGCAGTGGTGGGGAACCTTGGCACTCCAGCTGTTTTGGAACTACAAGTCCCATGAGGCAATTCAAGGCTCTGACAGCCCCAGACATAACTCAGAGGCAGATGCATGTTGGGATATGTAGTTTTGGAACAGCTGAAGTGCCAAGGTATAGGGGGTTCAACATGGGATTTTAATGTATATTTTAACCTTTATATAAAACTATTTCTAACCGACTCCCCCCACATTCTAATTTAAACTGCACTACCCCAGCTGCTTTCTTATCTCTGTTGCAGAACCAAAGCCCTGTCAGGTTTACACCCTGTCCAAGTGAATTTCTTGACTAGGGGCCCCATTGACATGAAAGGAGCCATTTGCTGAAGATTAAGTCAATAGGGTCTCAGTGGACATCGCTGAAGATAATTTAGTAAGGACATGCTGTAAAAAAGGAGAACTACTTACACTGCTGGGGGCATGGAGGGGGGCTAGAACAGTTTAATTTTAGAAGGGCTCTGGGAAAGGTGGAGGTGGGCTGTAGTGATAGTGTTGTATATATAAAAAAAAATACACCAATCCTTTAATGGAATATTCCGCAGAAGCTGCAATGCTCAGACTCTTGTCTGGATGTCCAGTTCTGTGGCAGGGACCGCATTCGCACCTAAATAGCTTTACTGCTTCAAATCTACACATCTGACACACAAGTTTGCTTGTCAAAATCAGTCTTATAAACCAAGACATCTGCAACTACAATAATTAGAATGGTAATTTTGTTAACGCTTTTATATAGAAAAGTGGAAAAACTGCTTTCGGGTAAAGTTGCAAGAGTACCAGACCGTTTACTATCCTTGCAGTAATAACAATACAATAAGCCCATCACTTAAAGCTGACAAGTGATGTGACAAGGGCAGGGTGTGTACACCCATCTTTTCAAGAATGCAGAGAAACCAAACTTTCTGTTAGCTTGTGTGACCTTCCAAGACGTTGACAAGTCCAGCCCAGGGCTGATGAGTGACTCTTGCAGCGATTATATGAAGTTATGTTCACGTACTCCTGAAAAGGGTCTATTGTTTGAAGCATTTGAAGTACACATCCCATCCCCCTAAATAACAAGCTTGACCATGCACAGAGCGCTCCAAAAGCCAGCAGCAGTTTAGAGATTATAGGTTAGGAATGGGGCAAGGCTTCTTTCTAGGATGATGAAAACAAATATTTGGCCTCAACTTCCAAAGATATAAAAATCAGACAAAATGGACACTTACCAAGATCTGACATGATCCATTTGTACATAAAGCCTTTAACATGGACATCTCTGATTGCATCCTGCAAGAGAAAAATAGAAGGTACAATTACAGGGTTTTCTCAGAGCAAAACCATGTAGCTAAAGTTTGCTACAACTCAAAGAATTACTGCACGCCATAAAGAAAGATTTGTGTTTGTCATCAACCTTGTACATGTAATCTTCTGCATAACAAGACAAAAGCAAGTCTTTGTTTGTACTCGGTCAAGAAAAGGCAACATTGCATACACAGTGTGTGTGTGTGTGTGTGTGTGTGTGTGTGTGTGTGTGTGTATATATGTATGTTTAATATAAAATAGTAGCTACACAATTTCAGGATCGCTTCTGTCGTAAAGCCGACAGTCGGCTCTACAAGTTTAAACAGAGTCCCGGCGGGAAAAGTCGCCGGGAGTCTGTTTAAACAGCCCCGATGCTGGCGACGTACACTGTACGTCGTCAGTCATGAAGGGGTTAAATGTCCAATGATTATGTCCATGCCAATCTGCCACTAGAAAATTCCCGGTATCCCCAGCAATTTATTCCGCTTTACTGCAGTAAGGGTCAATTTAGGTGAGAAACTTGTTGCATGTCTGAAGTATGCTGGACATGACATACTAGAGAGTATTTGCGTTTATGGGGATCTCTCCCATCTGGCAACACACTAATATTTTCTTCTCAATCTGTGGGCTCAATGGAAAAAAAATATTATATAGATATTATCCTTAACATTCTCAAATAATTCATCCCCACAGCTACCTCCTCATGTATCATTTCCCCCTCCTCTTTCAGATTGTAAGCCCTCAGGGGCAGGGCCCTCCTTACCATCTTGTCTTGTATTGTAACTGTAATATCTTCCTTATATTGTGAAAGCGCTGCGCAAACTGTTGGCGCTATATAAATACTATGTAATAATAATAATAATAATAATATAGATTCCTCCATCAATGCTTATGAGGGTTGATTGAGGAATCTCCTGCTGTCTTCCTTGTATACTGATGGCCGTCAAAACACCTGAAAAGAGCTGGCAGCTCATCGTCAGTCCGCTTTATTTGTTGGAAGATTTTGGATGCCAGCTGATAGGGTGCCGACAGCGGCACCCAATCTGTGAATTTCGGCCAGTTCTTCAAGAAGCGGCTATAGTGTATGGCCAGCTTTACCATCATGTGCCCTTGAATGGCCCAATTCAATATCTACAGAATAGAAGCATGTGTGCATCTGTAATAAATCTGCTCAATGCACAAAAATTAAAACTTTGGATCCAGCTAAGAAAAATACCTAACTAGAGTGGACGTACCCATCACTTGGAAACGGCTGGTCCCATAATCTGATGTACCACGTTCAGTCACCTGGCTCACTGCAGCTAATCGTACAGTGTATGGGCACCTTTAAGGTTGCAACAACTAAATGATAACGATTCTCATTATCGATTCATTGATTCTACGATTAGTTAATTGTGCCCCCGCTGCACTGCTGTTTCGCCCCGTTGCCCCTGCTTTGCCTCCGATGTTTCCCTGGTCCCCCCCCCGCTGTGCCTCTGATGCTTCGCTGGTCCCCGCTGCGTCTAGTGCTCTTAGCGACAGAGCAACAGCCAGCCTGCTTTTAGCGATTTTAAATTGCAAAATCAAAAAGTAGGCTGGCTATTGCACCTGCCCACTGCCAATCAGAGAGGTGGACCTGATTGAGAACTTTCTCCTTCGGTCCCTTCTCTGCTGATTGACAGCAGGCTATGGGTGTGTGCAATAGCCAGCCTGCTATTGCAATTTGAAGTTGCCAATAGCATGCTGGCTATTGCTTCCAGCTTCTGCCTACTGGGTTTAAATTCAGCTGTGAAAGTGAAATGGAAAGGTAACCTCTAATATTAAAGAGAGTCTGTCACCTCCAATGTGCTATCATAGGGGGCTTATGGGTCCCGTGTAATAGACCGGAAATAAAATCGAGGCGGGAGGGAGGAGGAGTGGTGGGGAAAATAATTTTAAGTTTCAGCCTGACAAATTCTGCGGCAGGAGGTGCGTTGTGGTGCCATTCATTTCAATGTACCCCAAACGCGCCTCCCGTCCACACTGCGAAAGCCCGCAGTGGGCCGTGCGGTACTGCATTGCCATGCGTTCCACTGCGGTGCGATTGCAAAAATTGTGCATGCAGTTTTATTATGAAGTAAACTTTTTTTTTTTAGGTTTACAACACTGCATTTGTATTTCATTCTAAACATATATTTTTTATCAAATAAATCGAAAAATAGTCGGGCCAACTAATCGATCAAAATAATTGTTAGTTTCAATAAATCTATATGCACGCACACACTGCTTTTGGTTATACTTTAAAAAAAAGGACCCCTCTTTTTTTCAAAAGAAACTGTATGGCCATATTTAAAGTGAAAAAAAAAATCAAATAATATTGAATATTGTCACAGAATGGAGGTAAACAATAGACAAATGAGATATCGCCAATTCCTGGATATAACAATGAATACACAGCAATTCTCCAGCCTATTCTGGGTTTGTTAAATTATGTGTGTATATAAACTTCCACTTTGTCTGCACTGGAATTATGAAACAGTTTTTGCTGATACAAACTCTGCCCTTTCCCCAGTGACTAAACACCAAGAACACTTTGGTTACATCCAAGATGCTTCCTGTTTGCACAATACACAGATTCACAAAACAGTTTACTTAATCGTTTACCAAAGAATTCTAAAATGCGCTAGAAGAGAAAATCGAGGGCAAAGGTGCCATTACCCAATGTGTGTTCAAGCCTTTGTGTTTACCAGAGGAAAAACCTATAAGCCAAACTCTGGGAAAAAAAAATATTTTACACAGTGCACTAGGTGTGCAAATTTTTGATGAAAAGCTGTACGTTATATGTGGAGGGTCGCTACAAAGTATAAAAATCCTACCTTACGGCATGCCAGCTCCTACATATAACACTCGGTTTCCGGGCGCTGGGAGAACGAGGGATGTGATTCAAAAAGAGAAGGGCTCTAGTCACTTCACCGCTCCTCTTCTATTACTACTTGCCCATTCACAAAATGTCTGCAGCCAGTAGTGGGAGCATCGTTTTGTAAAGGGCCTGTAATGGCAGGGATTTCTAGCAGTCTCTTGTAACTTTTCCAGACTCGTCTAACAGATTATCTCCATGCTTCAACTACACCTGTAGTACGTCACTAGTCTGTGAACATCTCCAGCAGTGTGTCAGTCTCTGACAATCCTGTAGCACTACAGATGCGGCTACAGTTGAGACCCCCTTTACCTAGTAAGTTGGCTACTATTGATATGGAATGCCTATGACCAGGTCAGAGGTTCTAAAAAAGTATTAAATAGGATGCAGAAATTAAACAAAAACACTGTGTAAGGAAACATCGAAACCTAAAAGTGCATTTCCAATTTTGCAAGCGAACTGAGAAAACACCTACTTTATATTTGTTACAAGTTCCATGCATGCTGCGACACAAAATGCAGAAACTGGACCACACTGCACCTCAGTGCAGCACACCGCGTTGTTGTGCTTAGGTATGAATGGCGTGTACACTTACTTAAAAAAGAAATCCCTTTTTTGTAGCGAGTGCTGCCTTCCGTCTGCCCATCACTTTCACCAACTTCCTGGATGTGATGCAATCTCCAATTCAAACTTAAAATTTCTTTACATACTTTTAGTTTTAGTTTTTGACCATAGATGCCCTTTAAAAAACCAAAAACGCTGCCAGAGCTGCCACAACACACACTCCCGCCCATAAAATGCTCTGTTTTAGTGGAAGGGCTAGTGTGAACAGGCCCTGAAAGTTCTAGGAAAAACAACACAATGAACAGAACAGGTAGAGAGATGCTGTGTCATGCCCCACTGTCTACACGTAGCTGAGAAGAATCCTTGTGTGGAGGTGCAAATACTGCTCTCCTGCAATAAAACCAATCTCCCTCCACAATAGAAGAGCTCCATAATCCATTTTACTGCCCTCCACAGAAGAAAGGACAACACAACAATCAAGGAGCTTTCAGGGTAAATATAGGAGAAGTCCTCCCAGGTGTGAAGAGAATGTAATCCAATATCTTCTCATCTCCTTCTGGTGAGGTGATGGCAGGGTCAGGCATTATCACTGCACCTTTCCCCCAGGGAAATCCTTCTCAAACAAATATCACTGTGTTGACTGAACAAATCCCTAAACTACATGACAACCCCTCACACAGACCTGAGTGATATATTAGATGTTACACGGCAGCAGCAAAATTGTGAAAGCCCAATATAGCAGAGACCGAGGCAAAACTCAAATATGCTCTCGTAAAAGCAGAAAAGTAAAAACTTCCATTACCAGTATTAAAAAATAAAATGGTGGAATGGAACAGAAATACGCTATATGAAGGACAAAATCAAACACCAGCAAATATCACACAAGGCGATATTGCAAAATAGAATATGAGCTGTGCAAGGAGTTAAAGAAAAATGAAGTTCTCCCATCTTGTCTATTAAAATTTCTTGGTGCAAGATTGTCCGCTATTAACCAGTTGACATCCGCGGTGTTAAACCCCCTTCCCATCCAGGCCATTTTTCAGTATTCAGCGCTGCGGTACTTTGACTAACATTTATTCCGTCATGCAATGCTGTACTGAAATTAATTTTATACCATTTTTTAGGGACAGATAGAGCTTTCTTTTGGTGGTATTTAATCACCACTGGAGTTTTTATTTTTTACTATATTAAAAAGGAAAAAATACTGAAATTTAAAAAACAAAAAAAACTGTTTCCCCTATATTAATTGATAAAACATTTATTACCCAATTTTTTGGTAAAATATAAAAAGACGGGGTCACGTCAGGTAAAAAAAGACACTAAACATGTCAAGCCTTAAAATTGCGTACGCGCGCGAAACCTCAAAAAATACCCAAAATTGGCCATAGGCGACGCTTTAAAAGCTTTTACCGCTCATCAGTTTAGTGTCATCAGTGAGTGATGGACCTAAAATGATTGCTCTCACTGCGACGTTCGTGGCGATATGCAACGTGTGTAGCGCAATCGTCGTTTTTGTGTGCTGGGGGGGTGGGGAAGTTAAACATTT